AATTAATTTAAAACAATAATTCTGAAGACATCAAGTTTAATTCAATATTATTACCATTTTATCATTCTATATTCTATATTGTATAATTAAATTTATTTTTATTTGAAAATTTATATAAAATAAATAAAAAAATATGATAGTATTTTTAATTTAAATTAATAATTGGGAAAAAAAGGTGATGTCATTAATTATATGAAAACCCATGTCGTTTTATCCTTTCTTTTCATTTGATGGGAATGTATTTTATTTACTTGTTTGTGATCATGAAAAGGGAAAATGGTAGCATGATTATCACATAATAATCCAATATATGTTCAATTTTTATATATTATTTATTAAATACTTAAAGTATACTATGAACAAATATATATTGTAACCTAATAACTCTCCTAAGCGAGGAAAGAACCCCTAATTTAATTAGAACCTTAAATTGCACGGGCCTTGAACATGGGCTCTATCCTAAATCTGGACCGGAGTTAACTGTCGGGTACTAGGGACTGGACTGACCGAATTAGGCTCTTTTCACTGAATTGGATTTGGACCGGATTTAACTGTTGGTTTTCATCTTATATATGATCTATGATTAACCATAGAGCGACTTCTTAAAAAAGAATATTGTTCATTTTAGAAATTTTGAATTGGAGCTGTTGGATCTATAGGATGTATGCGTTGTCAATAGTTAAGAAAGATTATGAATAAATATGATCTTATAATCATCATAGATTATTTAAAAAGATATACAACCTATGATAATATAGGTGTATGCTATGTATTGTGGTTATCTTAATTATTATGATAAGAAAGTTCTCTTAAGTTTTTTTATTAATTTAAGATGAATATAAGATATTAGTATTTGTTTAAAGATTTCCTTAACTCTTTGATATTGAATGTTTATATATCTTTATATACATGATGTTCGAATTCAGAATCTCAAGGAATAATAATAATTCTTCAATATCTGAGATAGTACCGTTTGTGCCAACTTATAAGTTCAAATTGTAACGTAGATTAAAGCCAACTTGTAGAGAAAAAAAATCCTCCACTGTTAAGAATAAAATTAAGATCAAAATTGTAGAGCAGGGAGTTGCGACTTCCATGTCCATGACGAATATAGGCGGCCATAAACTGATAAAGCAAATGAAGGCAAATAATAAAATCAATATAAATTTCAACTTTTTATTTAATTGAAATTATAATTATTATTTTTAACAATAATAAAAAATATTTAAAATAAAATTTTAATAATTAAGATATTTTTATAAGTAAATAGGCTTCATTAAAATCCCTTCGTATCAGGAAAACCCCCGATAACGGAATAGGAAAAGAGTGTCCGAACTTTTATTAAAACCAACCATAGTTCAAGATACAAAATAGAAGATAACCCGACAAAACAGACCAAAACACCTTAGGACCCAACTAACCTACCGCTCCGCCAAAGGACTAGGCCTTGCCAACGGTTGCTAGCTAACAATCCTTATAGTAGGCTAACCAATACCTTGTTTTGCTAAGGAATCAGCTCCAATCTCATTGGGGTCCTATTAAGGCAAACCATCCAAAGAAAATATTCCACTTTTGGTGGAACCTCATTCTTCCAAACAAATCTTTCCCAATCAAAATCAGACTGCCCAGATCTGTAAAAAGATTTCTTGAAAGAATTTACAGAGTAACTCTCTAGTTCCCATATCTGCAACAACACAGTCTTTAAAGGAAGCGAGAATAAATCCTTGGAAACTTCACCTTCAGAGGAATGTCGAACAGCCAAGGGTCCTCCCAAAACCTCACCGACTTCCCCATCTCCAACCTTGAAAGCTAAATTCTCACGGAGACACTTACCCACCTCATCATCCTCAAGAAAGGAATTCAAGATGTTTTTCCAAACCCGCGAGGCTCGATAATGTACCGGAAAGGGAGGGAAAAGCCGAGAAGACTCCTAGTTATACTTACAACATAAAACACTCTGCCACATAGAATCTTTCTCATTAGCAAACTTCCACAACCATTTCCCTAGCAGGGCTCTATTTTGGATAACAAGATCAAGGATTCCAAGACCCCCACACTCCTTCGGGCAACAAACAGTAGACCACTTCACCCAATGTATATTACTCGAATCTGCATTACCTCCCCAAAGGAATCTCGACATCAAACTACAGAGCTTTCGGCTTACTGCTTCCGGCATTTTGAACATAGCTAAATAGTATGAAGGCAAAGCTGTTAGGACTGAATTAATTAATACTACTCAACCCCCAAACGACAACTCCTTTGCCTTCCAACTCGCAAGGCGCTCGTTAAATTTTTTAATAACAGGATCCCATAGAGAAGTGGTGTTCTTACCAGGACCAAGGGGGAGCCCTAAATACTCTGCTGGGAACTGACCCACCTCGCAGCCCACTGAACTGCCCAAGAGGATACAACTTCAGCTGGAACATTAATACCGAACAAATGACATTTGTTTAGATTAAGTTGTAGACCCGACGCCAATTCAAATACCCTCAGTACCCGTTTTAGATTTTTGATCTGATCAACATCTGCTCCACAGAAAACCATGAGGTCGTCTGCAAATTGCAAATGAGAAACTTCTATTGAGTTCCCTTCTCTTCCCACCACAAACTCGGAAAACGATCCCTCCTTAGCTGCTTTAGTTAACATTAAATTTAAAGCCTCCCCAACAATGTTAAAAAGTACATGAGACATGGAACAACCTTGTCTCAACCCACGGGAGATCGAAAATCTCTCAATTGGAACCCCGTTTACAAGCACTGAAATAGACGCGGAAGATAATCACTTGAGAATCCAATTACACCACTTCTGACCAAAATTCATTTCTTTCATCACTCGAATGAGGAATTGCCAATCTACAGAATCATATGCCCGTTTAAAATCTACTTCGAAAACAAAACCGCTGCCCTTCTTTTTCAAAACAAAATAGATGCACTCATTAGCAATAAACGATCAGTCCAAGATTTTCCTACCCAGGATGAAAGCGAACTGTTCCTTACTAATAATCGTATCTGCACACATCCGCAATCTACCAGCCAGAAGTCTTGACAAAATTTTATACACTCCACCAACCAAGCTGATGGGTCGAAAGTCCTCAACAAATTCCGGGTTCCGCCTCTTCGGAATTAACGTGATGAACGAATGGTTAATCCCCTCTTCCCACCTCTTCCCATGATAGAAGTCCTCAAAAAATCTCATTATCGCATCCTTTAAATCTGGCCAGAATTCCTAAAAAAACCGCATATTAAAACCAACCGGGCCGGGAGCCTTATTACTGTCCGCCGAACAAATTGCCCTCCAAGGGGAGATTTTGCGAAAGTCCAGAGACATGCTATCCACCTCCAAGGTCCTCTTTTCGTTATAGGACTCCTCAAAATATTCAAAGACATGCTTCATGATATTCCCCGGCCTAGAGATTGGGTTACCATTTACTTTAATAAAATTCAACGAAATAAATCCGCGCCTACCAGAAGCCGCCTAGTGAAAAAACCGAGTGTTTCGATCTCCATCCGCGGACCAACGAATCCTAGACTTCTGCAGCCATACCCGCTTCTCAATTCTAATTTCGCTCCATAACTCTCATCTTAGATTGGACAACTCCTTCACCTCTGATGCAATCACTCCTGACTAAGCTTTGAGTTCGATGTCCGCAATCTTTTTCTCAATATTGGAAATATTCACTTTAGAGACTTGAATGAAAAAGTGATATATTCCAAGTAATATTTGTATATAAACCTAGAGTAATTGACAATAAAATTACAAAGTTACAATAATAATCATTTAATTAGTTACTATTTTATTAAAAATTGTGGATCATATCTACAATCTAAAAAAGAGTTAAATCTTGAATCCCGATATTTGTCCGGTCAAGGGCATTCTTTCACTAAAATCATCTAATGGTAGAGACAGATTAATAATTTTATGTTAGGAGCAAGTTTATAAAATTTTAGAGGGAACAAACTTATAAGATTTTAAGAGACAAAACAAATTATGAATAGAAATTACATAAAAAAAAATTAATGTATTAGAGAATTTGAAATTTTCAAGATGGACAACATCTCCACTCATCCCCTAGATTCATCCTTGTGTAATGGGCTTGAGTAGTAGGATTTGTGTGCTTGTGGTTTGCGTGAGTTGTTCTTACCAAAAGGGCATAAATTGTGGAGGAAACGAAGAAAAGCTCTTTTTTTTCCCATGATAAAGAGATTCAGTCTAATACATTGATAAAACCATAGCAAATATCTACATAACATAATGACACTTATTTTACTGCGCCTAAACAACATAAAATTCATCTTTCCCCCTATAGTTTGCATTTTATACAAAGATGATACACAAACATCTCTTATGGCAGCTACACCACAATAAAAACTCAAGGTGCATAACTGAAGCAATTAAGATCAACCTAATTTCGGTAGCAACATCAATGGCACCACCAAAGTAACTCCTTGATGACTACTCCTACAAATAACACAATAAAGCCTCGCCAGCCAAGATCGGTTGACTTACCATCTACCCTCCATCCCGCTATACACCCATGAAAACAATACTAGAAAGCCATATTTGTTTTCTTTTCCTGCATACCGGTTGCAGGCAAGTGAGAGGGGATAGCACAAAAAGGAAGATACAAAAGTGTGAAAACAAGAGGAGAAAAGAAATCAAGGTAGATCATGCTATTGCAGGCAAGCGAGAAAGGGGAGAGAGCACAAGAAGGAAGATACGAAAAGTGCGGAAAAAAAAAAGATAAAAGAGATCAAGGGAGATTATCAATGGAAAATCTAACTAAAAGATGTAGGAAAGTAGCGAGATCAAGGACAAGAAGGCTAAACTGCTATCAGAAGATAAGTAGCCACATGGTGCATGCAGATGAAGAGGAAAAGAACAACGAGCAGTGCTATGAAATAAAATACAGCACATATCATCAACTGAGAAAGAAGACAGGGCTTATCTTCAATTCGTATTGGTAATTTAGCTTACTCATCTTGTTTACACTTCTTTCCATGGTCACTGTCCACTGATAATCTTCCCACATAAAGCATCATTCTGCACCTTGAATACTTTATTTTCAATTCTTAATTTTGCATTCTCCTCTGCAAGTTGTGGTAAGTTACTATTAAGATTGGCATTCTTCCTCAATGATGCATTTTCATCTTTTAACTTCTCGTTTTCGAGCCTCATTGGATCAGCCTACAAAAAGAAAAACACTAATATGTTAAAAAATCTATAACATCATATTTAAGCTGTAACATTTCTGTAGGTTAACAATTGTCATGCTTTTAAAATGAGTTAACATTCATTTGAACAAGTCTACGGTCTACCACCATATGAAATCAATAATAATCTTCAGTTTTTGGAGTTAATGATAAGAATAACATCAACAAAACAGTAATTTTATATAACATCTGACATTTGTCTTATAAAATTAATCAAAAAAGAAACTAGAACTGTAAGAAAACTGTTGAGGGCACAAATGCACATAAAATAGAAATGCAAATTAACCAATATAATTATTAGCAAGTTTATGGATAACTAGTTAGAATTTATTCTTTTGAAATCCCTTAGCATAACAACGAGCTTTGTAGAGTCTTAAGACTAAAACCATGACAGCAAGATTGAGCTCTACAATAGTAAAATTGAAACAACTGGGGAAATCATGCTGATCCGGATAGAGTAATTGTACCCGATGTCGTGATTCGTGCCGGAAAAAGAAAATTATCATTAGGGCTATTAGATTTAAAGTTTGTGTGTGTGTGTGTATATATATATGAATAACATTATGTACGTTATTTTTTATATCAAATTAATGGTGTTATATTTGATGTTGAATTGTTATATATTTGATTGTTAGGAGGGACAGCCCCAAACATAAGACAGTAAAATAGATATGAAAGACATTTTTATTATTACTTGTGTTTATTTATCTCAGATGCCAAGAGTATGATTTTTATATATGTAGATGAAAACATTAAACTCCATTCAATCTTTGAAAAAGAACCGAGTTCTATTTCAGGTTTATATTTTTTGTTTAAGATTAAGAAAAACATAATGCCATCGGTGTTTTCTTGTGCAATTTTAATCCCCAAGGAAACCTAAACCATTCAGCCAAGTCTGCTTGAGTTTCTCTAAATTAGCTTTTGTTTTTTCAAGGCAAAAACTCTTTGTTGAAAGCTCTTGTTCAGCCAAAACTGAAAATGTAAAAATAAAATGCTCAAACTATACCCAAAGTTAACTAGGTGCCTAAAGAATTTTTCGTTAAAAATAGGTGTCTAACGTTTCCAACGTTACCATTTTAGGTGCACGTTTCGTAACTGTGGTTAAAATTTTTTGCTAAGTGACACATGTCACATTCTGGTAATTTTGAGAATCTATATTTAAAATAAAAAACTTAAAATATATTTTTTTAAAGAAAAAAACCAAAATTTTCTCAAATCTTAAAAAAATCCCAAAACTTTGAAAACTCTAATTTTAATCCCAATACCACGCCGACCGTTGGCCTTTGTCGTTGCCATCAACCGGACCTAACCTCAACTGCACCTCCACCCGACGAACCTCAAATCACGATTTAAACCCGATGACGACAAGGAAAAAACGCGACCTTTGCGCGTCTCCATGGGGCCTGACGGTGCGATCAACGACAATGAAGACGATGGCCAAGAAGGGCAATGGCAATGGCGACACCGGTGTCAATAGTCGTCGGTGGCAAGGGAGAAATAAGGGTTAGGGTTAGGGATTTGGGGATGATTAGGCCTGTAAACGAACCGAACGAATACAAAAGAGTGTATATTCATGTTCGTTCGTTTAATTTTAGTCGAAACAAAAGAAATGGACACGAACAACTAAATGAACAAAATTTCTTGTTCATGTTCGTTCATTGAGAAATGTAGCTTGTTCATGTTCGTTCATTAAAATGATAAACGAACACAAGTGAACGAACGTAAATGAATACAAACGAACGAACGTAAACAAACATAAAATTAACTGGGTTTATATATGATGATTTTTTTTTTTTCCAAATTATTTTAGGATTTATATTTTCTTTAATTGATTTGAGTATTTTATTTGGGTCTAAAATTAATTGGGCTTTAATAGGTTTAAAGTTAAAATTTATTAGGTCTTAATATTTCAAACGGGTATGGAGACTGGGCTAAATATAAACGAACGAACATAAATGAACAAACATAAACGAACAGATTACTGAAAGTAAATGAACAAAACAACCATTTGTTAATGTTTGTTTATTTAATTAAACGAACATAAAATCTTGTTCATGTTCGTTCATTTAATAAATAAATGAACATAAACGAACTTCTCGCCGAATGGTTCACTGAACGTTCGGGGCCTAGGGATGATTTTTGGGGATTTGAGGTTTTTTTTTGTAATTTTAGATAAATTAGGGTTTTTTATAAATATAATAAATTTTTTAAGTTTCTTTTAAAATAATTTTTCAAAAATTATTGGAACGTGACACATGTCACTTAACGGAATTTTTTAACGGCCGTTATAGCCCGGACACCTAAAATGGTAACGTTGGAAACATTAAGATACCTATTTTTAACGAAAAATTCTTTAGGCACCTAAAGTTAACTTTGGACACTTATTTTTGCATTAATCCACTAAAAAATAGAAAGCTACCGTTTGATTTAGTTCAAAAGATCAACTTCCAAACTAGTATTAGAGAATAGTTTAGCCTTGAGAAGGTGCCAACATCCATCGGTGTCACCTGATCCGTGACATTAAATTACCCTAACCCATTATAAATGGTATAGATGCTCAAATTTAAGGTTAAACCATTATTCTAATATCACTAGTAAATACTCAAACTTTAAGTTAAACTATTATTCTAATACCCTGTTTCTTAGTTTTAAGAGTGTCAAATACAAATATTTCTTCAACACATATACATTCAATTCTTTACAACTATGTTCATAGACTTGAAGGGTTGGTCCCCTATTCCATGCTAAATAGATGTGTTATAAATATTTCAATAAAAATGATGTCATGTCAAAATGGCTAGTAAATGAAGTTAAGTACTACAAAGGCCAATATTTGTTCCCACCCCTAAAAGCAATATAGAGTATCACCATTGTTTTCTTCAAGCAGAATGAAAAAAACATTCGACATTTATGCTGAGAGTATAAGAAAGTGGAGACTTACTAAAAGCCCTGAAAGTGTTCGCACAAGAACATTTTGCTTCTCATACTCGCACTTAATCTGAAGAAGATCACTCCTCAATTGCTCAATCTCTTTTTCTTGATCTCTCAAAGTTTGATTCATCAGAGAATTAGCATCTTTTAGGGATTCATTCTCTTTCATTAAAGAATCATTTTCTCCTTTAAGGTTCTCCATATTAAATTGCATTTCCATTTTGAGACTCTGTGTAGAAAGGAAGGAAAAAAGTGTTATCATTGGTAACTCAAACTACTCATCCCAACCACCAATCCTCATAAAGAGAGACCGAGAGAGATGTTAAATCATTAAGTACATTGAGAATCTATTTTTAAAAATTCTGTTTTGATCTCTCACGCGTATCTAAATTCTAATGCTTCTTTCTAGACCTGATTTGGAAGGAAAATGGAAAGAGGGTTGCAGTAAAATGATAGTTGATAACTCATGAAAGATCAGATACTCAAATGAAAAGGCCAAAGCAGAATGAGATCAACTAGAATATTTCTCGTTGGACACAAATTTAGTTAAGGATTAGTTTTTTTCCCCCTTTTAAAACAACATTTTGGATTTGCAAACTACTATTAAGACATGTCTATTTGCATTTTTAAATTAATAAAATCAAAGATGACCTTATAACTGAAAAGTAATCAAATAAACAATAATTTCATATTTTGCCTGGGTTCATATTTTATTTTCAACATTCCAAAAAGGGGAATAAAATTGCATGAAATTTGATCCCTTTTACTTAAGGCCGATCCCAATTCTTGAAAGAGAAAGGAGGTCAGGAGAAGGTAAACTCACCCTGCATCTTGCCCGATATGCCTGATCGATTTTCCTTTTCCTCTGAGCTCGTTCTGATCCATGTAAGCTTGAAAGGTTCCGTTTCAAAACTGAACCGGTGGACATGTCTGGAGATTGAAATGCTTGGGGTGTGCTAACATTACTGATCTGGCTTGGGACAATCCCACTGCTTATTGCAGGTTGATTCTGGCCCTGAACCCAGTTGGGATACAGTAAGGATCCTGGATCCCATACTTGTAGCGACGGAGAAGTTGATCTCCAATCCTGAAAGGGGGGAAAAAGAAAGAAAAACCATCAAACTTGATCATCTATGCAATGAAATTGAAATATAGTTTCGATTTATTTAGCATAAAGAAGAGAGGTACAGAATTGAATTCATCTATTTATAGGCAGTCAAGGAACAAAGAATCTACGGAGCATAAAGAAGTGCTTACCTCTTCACCATCTTCAGAGCAGCTTTCGGTGGGGCGTTTCTGAGAGTGACGAGGCTCGTTTAAACCCCACGAAATCGTCTGAAATATGTCTTCCATGGATTCGGTTTAGGTTTATCAACTCGATAGACCATATAAATAAGTAAACAGAAAAGAAAGTTCAACGATGAACTCCAAAGTCGGTGGGCCCACCGGTCGATAGTGCATATAGAGATGTGCATAATCGCAAGGGATCGCGCGATCTCTCTCTCTGTTGTTGCTTCATATGGATCGCGCGATCTTGTTTTATGTATTTTTTCCCAATCGTTTACCTGTTTTTTTAGCTTGGTATTTTTCAAAAAAATAAATCTTAATAGTGTCCTAACGAATTATAAAACCTTAAATAATACGAATTTAATAGTTAAAAAGATGATTATTATATTTTAATATTTATTATCTATAAAAAAATTTAAATTTGAACATGACATTTGTAAAAATATTTATATATTTATTATCAAGTGATTGACTTTTGAATATATACTAAATATATAATTTATTCTATTTTTATATTAGTGTTGCATTGTTTTTAATTTCTCTCATATTTTCAAAACTTTTCATAATAATTTAATTTAAAAAAATCAATGATATTTATGTTTGTGTTTAATGTATTATGAATTTATATGAAGTTCACACATTTGGTAATTCAATTTTTTATATTATTTATTTATTTTATTTGTAATGTTGACTTTAAAGTTTTATTTATCTCTGCTCTAAATAAAAAGCTTTTATTATTGATATAAATGTACAATTCTCAAATATATTTTTGAATTCCTCAACAACACAAAATCATGCTCGCGCGAGCTCAAGCATATTTGTCGGCGAAACTTAAACGCTAGGCTGTTGGTTTGTCTTTTAAAAAACTATGATGGATAAATTATGTGTTTAGTCATTTAACTATTATTTTAGTATAATTTTAATTATTTTTTTTAAATTTTATATCTAATATTATATTTTAATTATTTATCATTAAAAAATTAATAATAATATTGACGTATCATCATAAGATAATACTACATCATTATTAAAAATAAAAAATTATCATGTCAATAGTTATGATAGATATGATTTTAAAAAAAAATTGTCAAATGATCAAAATGGATTAAAGTGATAATTAAATGATTAAATACATAATTTAGCAAGAAAAAAAAATAAGTTTGTCATATTTGTGGTATTGCTGACAAGACACAAATGTCGCGCGAGCATTTTTGAAAGTTTCGAGACTACACTTCCGCGCGAGCAAAACGTGCATTTTTTTTCCGGAATAGTTGAAGGTGTTTATAAATTAGTGTTTATTTAAAAATTCTTATAGTTTCACCAATTTTCTTTGGTCATAATTAATCATTAGTCCCTGTAATATACATAATTTATGGATTTCATCTATATATTCTAATTCGATCTATTTTAGTCTTTTTTTTCTTTTTCTAAATTTTAAAATTTCAATAGTTATCCAGATGTTAGAGAGCAATATGATTAAGTTATGTATCCCGTAAGACATGAGCTCAATTCTTGATTTTGTGATTCTTAGTTATTTTATTCAAAAAATTACTAAAGTAGATAAAACAAAAGAACTATTATAATAATGTCAATTATAATCTTTAAAAATATTATTTTTATAATTTTTAATTAAAGTAATGTTGAATTGATTCGTGATATCAATTTAGTTAAAATTTTATTAGTAATATTTTTTGAAAATAAACGGTCGATTTTATTGAAATTAAATGAAACACCTTTTCCTAGACTGTGTGTGCATCAATTTCTATGGGTAAATTAATTGCATTAAACAAACAAAATCATAACTTTACTAAACGAAAAAACCATTTCTGGCCAGTCGTCTCCTCGCTTTCTTCTCTTTCTTTCTTTGAACGCACAAATGCTTGGAGTTAAGTATTGATTTATCGATCCTTCTACTCTGCTCTTCCTTCAATTGGATCTATGGTGGGTCAGTCCATCTTCTGTCCTTCGTTGCCTGCCTCGCTGTATTTTTCGGTGCCTCCTCTACCCAATATGTGTCGCTATCTCCAATAGATTTGTAAATGGCCAACAAATAGGTTGCCTTATTTCCTTCTTTTTGCACGAATCTGTACTCACACAGGCTGAAACCCTTTGCTAGTTGTAGGGCTTCCCAAATGAGCGCACTTATTTCTGAATAATGGGGTTTGGATGTGGCTAGCTTCTTCATTACCGATCTTGAATCCCCTTCCATAATCACTCGTCTAAAACCTAAATCGAGTGCTAGTTGGAGCGCATGCCCTTCTGCGGTGGCCTCTATTGCAAATGCTGATGGTACTCTCAAGGTATGTTTCCAGCATGCCCTTAATTCGAATCCATTCTCATTCCGTATAATCACACTTGACCATGCTTCTTGTTTTGCTTGAATGAAGCTTGAGTCGAAATTGATCTTTGTTATACTTTCTGGTGGCAGACTCCATCTCACAACACTTGCTAGCACAGGTTCATGGATTCTATTGTTGGCTATGATAAATTGCTGGCAATGAATTTGAATGAATATGATGGTTTCTTCTGCTCGAAAGGTTTTCCTTTCATTCACTCTTTTGTTTCGTGCATACCATAAGGCCCATATGGTTACTAATGCTTCACTGTATTTTGTAGGTGGGACATTGGCAAATAACCAACTAAGTCATTCTTTAGAATTCCAGTTCAAACTCTGCATTGGCCACTGGTAAACTAACTTTTGTCAGACCGCCAATGCTAGCGTGCAGTCATTGATAATGTGTAGTCATGTTTCAATTTGATTATGGCACAAATTGCAATATGGTTCGTTTGTAACATGTTTGTGAAATAACATCTATTTTGTTGGGGCATAATCATTGCATAACTTCCATACCTGAATTTTTATCTTTCTTTGGCATTCTGTGGACCACAACTTCTTGAACACGTTTGTATATGGATCTTGAATATCGTTATTTTGCATGAGTAGTTTATATTCACTACGAACGGAGTATTCACCTGAATGTTCTCCACCCGAGACTTGTATGTCGTTTTGTTCAAATCTCGAGATTGGGATGGATTTAATCAATTCAACTTCTTCGGTAATAAACACTTTGTTTATGGTCTCCACTCGCCATTCATTGGTGTCGTTGTCAATTATTTCAGTTACTCTCTCAATTTCATCTCTTCTTTGTGAACCAATGAGTTTTGGTTTATCTGCTGATAACCAGTAATCACTCCAAATTGAAATATTCATTTGATTGCCCACATTCTATCTTAATCACTTTTTCAGTAAACCTCTTGCACTCCATATATTGTGTCATATATAGGATGGATGGTTTCCCAGATTCGCTCCTAGGAAACTCGAGGTAGGAAAGTACTTTGCTCGTAACATTCTGCTTACTAATGAAGTTGGGTTCTTTAGAATTCTCCAACCTTGCTTAGCTAATAGGGTGATGTTAAACTTCTATAGATCTCGAAATCCCATTTCTCATTCTTTCAGTTTACTTGGTTTATCCCAAGATGCCCAATGGATGCCTTTTTTCTCAGCTTATTTTTGCCATCAGAATCGTTTCATCAATTTTTCAGTTTTTCGTAGATTGATTTGGTAATAAGAAGCAGTTCATAACAAATACAGGTAGCGCCTGCAATATTGATTTTATAAAAACCTCATTTATTCCTTGGGATAGTGTTCTCGTACTCCAAGAGTTAATTCGTGCCCGCATACGTTCTTTCATTGAGATGAATGCCTGTCTATTTTTCCTACCAATCAGTGAAGGTTGACCTAAATATTTCTCTGGGTTTGTCTCGCTTTCTACTTTTAGGATTCGTCGAACATTACCTAGATTTGAATCAATGACATTTGAACTAAAGGACAAACCTGAATTGTCGAAATTAATTCTCTGGCTAGAATTACTTCCATAAGTTCATAAGATATCCTTTAAATCGCTTGTTGCTCTTTTCGTGGCTTTCTCAAAGATTAAGCACTCATCCGTAAAAAAGTAAGCATGTGATGGTAGGGGCATACTTGTTAAGTTTTTCTCATTTTAATGAGCCCAATGCCTCCGCTTATTTTAGTAGGGCTGAGAACCCTTCACTGCATATTAAGAACAAATACGAACTCAGTGGATCTCCCAGTCGAAGGCCTGGATCTCTCTGTCAAAGGCCTCTTTGAGGTTTAAAAGCTTCTCCTACTTGACCACTTATAATTACCGAATAAGATAATGTAGAAATACACTGTGCAATAATTCTTATCTAGTTACTTTTAAACCCTAGTTTTTCCATCATTTGACATGGGTATGGCCACTCCACTCTGTCATTTGCCTTACTCGTGTCCAATTTCAAAGCAAAATATCATTTTCCTTCTCGCTTTTGGATAAAAGAGTGTAGAAATTCGTATGTTGTAATGATGTTATCTGCAATAAATCTCCCTGGGACAAAAACACTTTGAGCTTCGTCAATACACAGATGTAGATGTTATTGCATTCTCTTAACCAATATTTTTGCTATTATTTTGTATACCACGTTACACAAGCTTATCGGTCTGAAGTGTGTTAAGTTTCATGGGGATTTGACTTTTTGAATCAGTATTATATCAGTTATATTTATGGGCTTCATATCTTGTGTTTCATTCAGTAGCCTATGCGGGAACTTCTGTTGTGCGGCGCTTAAAATTTAGTGTGACTTGTTAAATAAGTGATTGGTTAAAATTTAGATCGATTATATTATATCATTTAACCGAAAATATTATCAAGTACAATAATATATTAGGTAGTGTTTATATAATGTAATAGGTAGCGCTTATATTGACATTTTTTCTAACTAAACAGGTATATTTAAACATGTATATTTAAACCGGTAACATTGTAAATTTACCTATTACATTATAATTATCGGTTTTGATGTTTTTGGGATTGATACAATTTTAAATGTATTCACACTTTATGCATGCACCTTGTTGTGCTTTCATTTTGGGAAAAAAGTATCGACACATATTTAAAGAGTGTCGATACATAATGTAAACCTATTTGCTAATTAACCAGTATATTTTTACCGGTTACATTGTAAATTTACCTGTTTCTGGGTTTTTGTTCTTTGAGAAACTGATAACATGTTGGTTTTTCAATGTTATTCTTTTGTTACTGCAAAGTTTTTGTTCTTTTTTTACTGGGTTTTGCTTAAAATATCCAACTTTTTGTATTAAAAAATGAAAAATCTGAAATAAAAATGACCACACAAGCACACTTTTTTACTACCGGTTTTGTCATTTCGAGACCGATTTTGTTATATTTTTACCTGTTATATTGTTGTTGATCGATACATTTTTATAAAGTATCGACACTTTATTGGCACTATAACTTCTTTTCTTTTAAATTCCAAAAGTGTCGATACCGGTTTTGTCATATTTTTACCTGTTATATTGTTATGGATCGATACAATTTTATAAAGTATCGACACTTTATTAGCGCTATAATTTCTTCTCTTTTAAATTCCAAAAGTGTCGATACTTATAATAAAGTATCGACACTATCAACATATCCGGTAGCGTTTTACCTGTTTTGTCATTTATAGACCGGTTTTGTCATTTTTTACCTGTTATATTGTTATGGATCGATACATTTTTATAAAGTATCAACACTTTCAATATATCCGGTAGCGTTTTACCTGTTTTGTCATTTATAGACCGATTTTGTCATTTTTTTTACCTGTTATATTGTTATGGATCGATACATTTTTATAAAGTATCGACACTTTCAATATATCCGGTAGCGCTTTACCTGTTTTTTCATTTATAGACCAGTTTTGTCATTTTTTTATCTGTTATATTGTTATGGATCGATACATTTTTATAAAGTATCGACACTTTCAATATATCCGGTAGCGCTTTACCTGTTTTGTCATTTATAGACCGATTTTGTCATTTTTTTACCTGTTATATTGTTATGGATCAATATATTTTTATAAAGTATTTACACAAACCAACAAACTAAGTTTGCCGGTTGCCAAATTTTTTAATATTTCTTCATGATTTCCACTTATTACATTATTATTACTTGATATTTCCGGTAGAGCTAAATCAAATTTATCAAATATCTTTTAATATATCCGGTAACACCGTATATTAATCATATATTAATCTGCCTTTCCAGAGATAATCCCCCTATGCAGTACTCCGCTACTTCTTTCCCCACAATGTGCCAGAATCTTTGGTAGAATATTACCCCAATGACATCCTCTCCTGATGCTTTGAGGGGACTCATTAATTTAACTATCCTTGTGACTTCTTCAACAGTAAATAGTTTGCACAACTTAGCGTTGATTTCGTTAGTTATGCAGGGTTCAACTCCACTCAATAATACTTCATTCGTCTCTTCGATTTCTGTAGTGAACAGATCTGAAAAATATCTTACTACTAAATCTTGAATAACTGATTCATATTCATATTGATCTCTCATTTCATTCTCTAAATTTTTAATTCTATTATGCTTCTTTCGTTGGGTTGTATAACGGTGGAATAAGTGTATGTTGTTATCTCCTCTTTTCAGCCAATTGGCCCTTGCCTCTATTCCCAATAGAATTTAGCCTTGTCGATTTCCATGTTTAGATGGAGTTTTGTTTCTATTATTTCACCTAGATTCTCCTCCGTTGGGTCCAATTCTATCATCTCGTCCAATTTTTGTTGGAAGGCTCGTTCTGTGAAACCCTTTCCCCCATTTCCAATTGAAACCACTGATCAAGACCTATTCGTATGCGATCGAGTTTTTCTAAAACAGTACCTGCTTGTGTTGTCCAAATATATTCCACTTCTTTCATGTATGAGTCTTCTAATAGTCAAAATGCCTCAAATATAAAGTGTCGGCGTCGCTTGATTGAATGTTCGTCCGATGGTGTCAGTAATAGTGGACAATGATCAAAGAATGAGCGTATTAGATGAGACAAAGTATTACCGTTGAATAGGTATATCCAAGCCATGTTTTCCACTCCTCTGTCTAGTTGTTCATAGATGCTATTATCTGCTCGTCTTCCCATCTCCCATGTGTACTAACTTCCGTTGAATCCGATATCTACCATGCCACAGTCTTCAAGGGTTTGTCTGAATTCTAGCATTTGTCGTTTGTTGCGCTCTAATCCCAATTGTTTTTCGTGGGAATATAGGATTTTATTGAAGACTCTCATTATCAGCCATGGTTCATTCGGGTTGTCGTTCAGTTGTCGCATTAGGTTCCAAGATTCCATTCTTCTGTGTTCTTCTGGTGCTCCATAAAATCCTGTGAATCTCCAATTACGTTTTGCTTCACCTTCCTGAATTGTTACATCTATGTGAGAACTTGAGTATTATGATTTTCACTTCCTCATTCCACGCGATACATAAGTCTCCGTTGCTTCCTTGCGATTCTACTTCTATTCCTTTACTAATACCCAATCATCTTCTATCTCGTATCATTCTAGTGTTCTGTAATTTTGTTTCTATCAAGAAAATTACAAATGGGTTAATATCTCTCAGCATGTGCCGGAGATGGTCTACCGTCCGGGGATACCCCAAGCCCCGAACGTTCCAACTTAGAAGTTTCATTACGTCCGGCTGGCCTGTGTTCTCAGGCATGCTGATATCTTTTCTTTTTCATTCGGGGAATCGTGCCTTGTTGAGCTTGAAACCTTTGAATGTGTGTTTCTTTGCCTCTTTATGCCTTCTTATTTTTCCATAGGGGATTCTTCTTCTTCGCCGATCATGATTACATCAGAGGATAAGTTTAGTCCTATCTTTATATCTCAGGCCTGCTGATATCTTTTCTTTGTCATTCGGGAAATCGTGCCTTGTTGATCTTGAGACCTTTGAATGAGTGTTTCTTTTCCTCTTTATGCCTTCTTCTTTTTCCATAGGGGATTCTTCTTCTGCGCCGATCATTATTACATCAGAGGATAAGTTCAATCCTGTCTTTATATCATTTCTTATATGCATCTATTTTAGTATTGGGTTTATCCAGCTTGCTTGCCCTATCCCTGTTGGATTTATGTTTTGAATCGATTTGAACTCAATATTGATCGTTCTTCCTGCTGGTTTTGTTGGTGAGTTTGAGTATTCTTCCATTAGCCAAGGGCTAGCATGGACCGACCTTTGACTGGGGGTGCTTTAAGCGAAGCATCTCGTACGGGTAATAGGTCCTTATGTGTTAATCGTAGTGGACAAAATCCTTCTCTATGGCCTAGCTTTCCACAGAGGTAGCAAAATAGCTTTAGTTTTTCGTACTGGAAGGTCGTGTATGTAAACTTCCCATTAGCTAACGCCAGCTTTTTTTCTGGGAGCCGTACATCAAGACGAATACAAGCTCTTATGCTTCCTCGGTATCCCAATGTCACCGTTGTCGCATCATAGGCCAGGAACTTACCAATAAAGTTTTCGATTTGCTTGGCTATTTGTTCTGATATATATCCCACTGGTAATTTGTTTATTTGAATCCAAAAATCCACAAAGTGGAGAGGTATTTTCATAGGATCGTCTTGTTCTTGAAGCATGTGAAAAACTAAAATATGAGAATTAAAACACCATGGCCCTTCGCTTTCGATTATGTCCGCATCTACTTCATTATAAAGTCTGAATAGTAAACGACCTTCTCCAAGTTTCGTGATTGAGATGCCTCCAATTGGATGCCAAACGTTTGCCATCATAGAACGCATTGCTGGATAATTTATCATGCTATACGTTAGGTAGAAACCAATGAAACAGTATTGCAGCGACATCCCTTTTTCTGTTCCTTGTTGATCGATAAATATTGCTTCTTCTTCATCTTCCTGTAAGTTTAATTCTTCCATTGTTTGATGCAGGTCTCCCATGCTTGTTGGATAGGTTTTGATTGCACCAGATTGTTTACTACATCATTGTGGTTTTCTGAAGAACTCAAAGCAAAATAAATTTGATTAGTAATATAAATATGAATTATATATACAAATAAATGCATAATTTAAAAGTGAATAAAATATTTTTTATCAAAAAATAAAGTGAATGAAATAATATGTCATGTAAATGTGTGTAATGTAAAATGGGGCATAGGTTAAGAAATTATTAGCAAGTGATCTTTTAAACAAGATCTAATTACCCAAAAGTATGCTTACTTTGCTGCTGTACTCTGCTTGGTTCACCGTTGGACTCACTTTTTTTTTTTTTTAAATAACACTTGGTTATTTAAAAGAAAAAAAAATCAATTTTTTAGTCTTAGTTGACATTAATTTCTAAGATCGATCTTATATAATTTCCCCTCCTTACCCTTATAAAGAACATAAATAATATATATATAAACTTTACATAATATAAAACTAAATTTGAGTATTTATTAATATAAAATCATTAATTTTAAAAATATAAAACTATAGTATTCAATTTTCTTTCTCTTGTGTCGTTCATCTCTTGATTTTTTATATTTTCTAATCATTAACAATGACATCAATCTTTGACTAGTCATTGATAGTTGATTTTTTTATTCCTTCTTATCCCCCACAATTTGAATTATGTTATTTTTTTTAATTAATCTTCCCTTTTTGTATGAAATTATGGATAATTTTATCTGTTTTTAAAAGCATGCACTTTGTATATCACACATTTTTTTTTGTTAAAGTTTGATTTCACATTACCTTTTCAAATTCAAATATCGTTTATTTGGTTATTCTATTGACATATCTATTCTTTCTACTTAGCATTCGATATTGATAAACGTTCGTAATTATAGATGATAGGTCACGATTACATTGTAGTAATATTAGTTTCTCAACAAGCAATCATTCTTATATATATTTTTATGTTAGTGTCGATGATGTTATCCTAGAAATATTTATTATTTACGTGATTTTAAACATATTTTTATTTAATAAAATTAGTTAGTAATATTAGTAAGATTTTTAAAACAAATTTAAACCTAAAGTTTATTGACAGATTTATTTTTTGAGACATTAAAAAATTCTATTCTCTACTATTCAAATCAAAATTATCATATAGACAAGTTAATTTCAAAGATAATCGAAAATTCTTTTAGATCAAGAGTATGTTGAGAATAGTAAATATTCAGTTTAGGCTTAAGCAACTTTATATATACTTTAAAAATATATACAAATTTATAATTTATTTTTCAAAATTCTATAAATATTTTTTATATTGCAATTGCAGAGTCTTTTTAAATTCTTTAAAACTTCATAATGTTTAAAATTTCTTTAAAAACCCTAATAACAAAAAGATCAATCATCATAATTCAATAAATAATGCGAAGCACAAATTTAAATAATATTTTATAAAAAATAATTTAAAAGAAATAATTATATTTTACAAGATTAATTAATTTAAGACTTGTTAAATTATAAATTAAAACGAAATATTTAATGTAAACTCAAATACCAAATTTGAAACAATAATTTATGGATTATCAATAATTATTCTGAGTTGCATTATTTAAAAAATATTATTTGACTTCATAACAAGAATTTAGGTTCACTCTATATTATTTTACTAATATTTTCATTTAAATTTTCTTAGGAAATTTTAGTTATTTTAATTTTTTAAATAACTTTTCTGTTTTTAAAAATTACAAAATTATAACTTTCCCTTGATGCAAGTAGTTCAAAGTAACAGTAAACCCAGAAGCAGATGAAACTCTATTTTCTCGCTTTCGATTAATCAATCTATGCCGTCCGATCCCATGATTGATTTGCATCAAACGAAAGAAATTTAAAGAAAAATACAACCTAAATAATCAAAGAAAAAAGAATTAGAAAATATCACATGATTATCAAGCACACAAATCTATAATCATATGATCATCTCTGCAACTCCATCATTCTGGAGAAGTCCTCGAAGCACACGAACCCATCTCCATTCTTATCAACACTCGCTATCATGAGCCGGCAATCCTCTAACGTGCACCTCTCATCACCTATTTTCTCCCTATAGAAAGCCATCAACTCCTCCGCCGTGATCCTCCCGTCCTGATCCGTATCGAATATATCAAAAGTCTCCCTCAGCTCCGGTTCGCAGGCCGGTTCATCGCAACCCGATCCCTCCACCCGGCTCACTAACGTTTCCAGGCTTACGCACCCATCGCCGTCTCCATCCACCTCGTTCAGCATGGCCGAAATCTCCTCCTCGCTCGGCGGCTTCCGGGCGAACTTGCTCAGAAGAGCCTCTAGCTCGCTTCTTGTAATGACCCCGTCCTTATCTTTATCTACCATTTTGAAAGCATGACAGAATTCTAGATAAAAATTAGCAGAAAAATCCGACCAGTCACCCGATGACTCGGGCAAAACGCTGGTGGGTGTTCCGGTACCAGCGGTGGCTGATGGAGAGCGCTGGTTTCCCTTGTGAACCGAAGAAACGGATTCCGACGAAGAAGAGGACAAAGATGTAGCAGAACCGGAACTGTACGATAAAGGGTCAAATTTGGAGACGGCAGACCTATCCTTCTTGGTAGATCGAAAGAGACGCTTGGGACTAAGCTTATTGATTAGTCTCATGATGATTTATGAATACTGAAACTGCTAATGAATGAAAAAAAGGAAAGTGGAAACCACAGAAATGAAGAACGGAAATTAATTTGGGGGTTAGTAGAGAAGATGAAAGGGAGGAAGAAGGTGGAGGGCTTAAATGGTTGGGGAAAATCTAAGGTCCATTGCAACTTCCAGGAAACTTCGCATGAGAATTTTTTTCAACATTTTCTTTATTTATATACTGGTATTTTGTTTTATGCGGTTCCACTTTTATTTCCACTACATTCCGCCAATTTTATTAAAAAAATAACATTTAAAAACAACACATATTTAGGTGTTATTTAGATTAATAGAAAAATAACACATATTTTACCCACACAAAATGTACATTTTCTATAAAAGTGTTATTTAGGTAGCGTTTTTCCCGAAAAATCATCGGTGATCGATATATTTATCGATCTAATACCAGTCAGACTATATTTTTTGATCTAACACTAGTCAGACTATATTTTTCGATCTAACACCCTTAGCAGTAAAGCGCGCCCCCTGCACCGCGTTATATGTTGATTTGGCGCTACGTTGGGTAAGGCGCCCCCTGAAGCGCGCCTTACACTGACATGGATACACGTGGATAAAATGCGGGGTAGATGTGTAATTACACCTAAGGCACGGGGCAGGGGCCGCGCCTTCCCTGTGAATCTGACACGCGTCAGGAAGGCGCGCCTTAGGTGTAATTACACACCTACCCCGACTTTAATACCCCCAAACCTCCCTATAAATACATCCAACCTCTATCCTTTTCATAACACCAAATTCTTCCAACTTCTCTTAAATACTCTTTTAATATCTTCTAAGGTATATTTTATTATATTTTTAATATTTTGTATTTAATTTATTTAAGTATTTAATTTATTTAATATTTTACTTATTTAATTTTTTTGCAGATATAAAATGGCAGACGATCTACTTCACTTGGATGCAAATCATATATCTCGACACTTTGCTGATATGGTAACATTTTAAATTTTAATTTAATTTAAATTATTAGTGATAATTTGTTGATTTATTAATCCATGATTATTAGATTAAGAATTAATTTTTGTAATTATTTATTTTTAGGAGAAGGACCGTGTATTAGATCCTTTTATTATGAACCTTAAGTTAGTGATACCTAGCCGTGTATTGCCGTATTTAGTAGAGGCTGAATTTGGTTACATAGGTAGATATCAGGGTTACTGTAAGATAGAACCAGACCTTATCTTTGCCTTAGTAGAGCGGTAGAGGCCGGAGACCCACACATTTCATCTTCTTTGCGAAGAGTGCACGATTACACTTGAGGATGTTGATATGTACCTGGGGCTTCTGGTGGATGGGGATGATATATCAAGGATCACGCAGGGTTCCTGGACTACTTTGTGCAGGGAAAATCTAGGACGTGTCCCTGAAAGTTTTAACGGTGGTTGGATATCGTTAAATTGGTTAGATGCCAATTTTTGAGAGTTGAGCGACGACGCGTAATAGGATGAAGTTAAAATGTATGCACGGGCATGCATACTGCAGCTGATATGAGGGTTGTTGATGTCGGAAAAATCACGCAACCAAGTTTACTGCATGTGGTTGCGACATCTGAGCGACTTTCATCTAGTCGGATCATTCAGTTGGGGCTCGGCAGTTTTGGCTTTGCTATACAAGGAGATGTGCCGAGCCATTGACTACAGGCATAATGCTATATGCAGATGTATCCTGCTGCTGCAGTATTGGGCATGGTATCGATTGCCCTTTTTATGTCCTGTTGTGAAGAACTCATTCGTATTTCCACTACTCTTGAGGTAATTATAAAACTGATTTCGTATATTAATCATTTTATACAACGTATAATAATTTTTTTCCTCGAATAGGTGGTCTACTGATAGGAAAAATCATCAGGAGCTACCTGATGATTTAGAAAAAATTAGGGTGCTCATCGATCAGCAGGCTGGCACACATGTATGAATTTTAATGTTTAAAAATCGATTTTAGATTATAGTTATATAATTAGATTATTATTTTGATAAAAATTATATATATTTGTTTTAGTTTGAATGGGTGCCATATTCTACTGATGATGTGAGGGCGATGATCCCACCTGAGTTGAGGGGCTCATCAGATGTTTGGATGGAGATGGTCCCCTTGATCTGTTATGCGACCGTCGAGTGGCAATCCACTGATTGCGTGCTCCGGCAATTTGGTTGTTTTCAACCAATTCCGGAAGCACATCGCAATATGGACGAGTTGCATAGCACATATAGACGTGGCAGGACAGATACAGATTGGCTGGTGAGGCATCATGCGTGGGTCGTGTTGTGGGAGGATCGACAGAGAGCCAA